ACAATGGAGTACTACTCAGCAGAAAAAAGTAATGGAATCTTGAAATTCGCAGGCAAGTGGAAGGAACTAGAAGAAACCATCCTGAGTAAGGTAACCCAGTCACAAAAAGTCAAACATGTACTCACTCATATATGAATTTTAGACATAGCGCAAAGGATTACCAGCCTACAATCCTCTTCACTAAAAAAACTAGGAATTAAGAAGGACCTAAGAGAAAAATGCAGGGACCCTGGAGAAGGAGAAGAGCAGGATCTCCTGAGCTAATTGGGAGCATGAGGGTAGGGGAAAGGGAGCTGGCAGAATGAGAGGAGGAGAAGAGGAGGGGAGCGGAGGAAATGGAGGAGCAGAAATGTTGAGTCAGGGGAAGAATAGAGGAGAGCAGGATGAGAGATACCATATCAGAGGGAGACATTATAGGTCCGAGTAGAGATCTGGCACTAGGGAGATTTCCAGAGATCTACAAGGCAATGGTGGAGAGGCTACCCTAAATGCCCTTCCCCTATAATGAGACTGATGACTACTTTATATGTCATCCTAGAGCCCTCATCCAGTGGCTGATGGAAGCAGAGGCAGAGAACCACAGACACACACTGAACTGAACTCTGGAACCCAATTGCAGAGAGGGAGGAATGAAAATCAAAGGGTCAGTACCAGGCTGGTGAAACCCACAGAAAGAGCTGGCCTGAAAAAGTGGGAGCACATGGACCCCAGACTGCTGTCTGGGAGGCTAGATCCCTGAACATGGATGTCAGAGAGGAGGCCTCCACACTCTATGGGGTCCCTGGTAGTGGATCAGTATTTTTTCCCTGTTGTAAGAAGGGACTTTGAGAGCCCATCCCACGTGAAGGGATGCTCTCTTGGCCTGGACACAAGGGGGAGGGCCTACGCCCAGCCCAGAATGATGTGATGGACTTTGGGGAGCCTGACATGTGAAGCAAGCTTATTCCTAATTTGAACTAATAAAAAAAAAAAAGAAATACTCCATCAATTTTTTCTCCAAAAGAGAAGTCTGTTGGCATTATGTTCAGTTTATTGTCTCTTTAATAAAATATATGCAATATTGTCAAATGATGAATAAAATGAGGTTGTCCCTAGAACTGAAGTAGCAATCGATCTAATTAGGCAAACTGGTCAAGCCAGTGGGGTGTCCTGAAGACTTGTAAAATGTAATGCAGAGAAAGCAATTCTATCCAGCCTGTATTTACAAGCGTGGGAGTTACACAATTGCTACATAAATACTCATGGAGATTCTTGAGTGGAACCAGGTACAAATGAAATAAGGGAAGTCAAACATCAGATTTATGTACCAAAAAGGACAAGGAGCTAGTCCCTCATTCTGCACATCACTGCACATCCCAGATCTCACAGAGGAGTGGGGTGAACTTGTGGTCATTCACCCTCCAGGACATCAGCATCTCTGCATGGTGATGGTTGAATGTCCGAAGTTCCGTCAAGCGGCCCAGGAGACAGGCAAAATGCTGAGGGTTCTCGGGCTGGTAAATCTTGCACAGTTTTTGTAGCACATCAAGCAGTGGTTCCTGAAGCTTCTCCACTGCCTCTCTATCCTTTATGTATTGTCTGTCTATTTGAGGGTTTGAAATAAAATAGCAAGGTAAGAGAGTGAAAAACACTGATTTGGCACAATTATGGCAATGCCTAAGCTTTTAAAACTGTTTATAAATGTTGTACCCTTAAAATGTACGAAATTTTCAATGTAATAAAGTTACATGCATGTACACACATATACATACATACATACATACATGTATACACAATGGACTTACATGTAAACCAAGATATGGAGCATCAAATGCTCCCAAAAGTTCCCCTAAACTCCCTTCCTAATCAAAGTTCTTGAAGGAAACCCACATAACAGGTGTAAGCATTCTGTCTCCGGGGCCATAGGGGATTTACACATAAACATGTATAAATCTAGGAAGCTCTGCCAAACAGGATCTTTTCAGTCACAATTACTAGTGCCCACAGAGTAGCAACTAGCATCTGTCTAATTATCACATATGAAAATCATTTAAAGCTAACACAATATGTTTTACAAACTATGAACACAGTATTATTTGCACCCAAATTGTTAAAGTCAATTTTGAAAATACATTTTATACAGGGAAGTATTTATTTCTATAATTTTTAAAACAGGAAACTTGGAAACATACAACTGTACTGACCCAGGGATGATTAAGTGTGTCTTTGTAGAGTTATGAAATGGAACATAATGCATATCTGTTCCCAAGAGTCTTTTAAAGGATGGGTCTTCGCTATATTATAATGTGTGTGATTTCTTTGCTATCCCTGCTCAAGTGTCAGCCTCTCGCCTTGGGGAAGACTCTTTCCTAACAACTTAATGAGCATGTCGTCCACTCTTTCCTCACCTCCTTCCCCAATATTCTCATCCTTCCAACATTTGTGAGATGAATTCTCACTCTGTAGCCCAGGCTAGACTCAAGTTTGTACTCCTCCTCCATCAGCTCTCAGGCCTGGAAATTACAGGTGTGGGTCACTGTGTCTGTCTATCATTATTATTACATATTTTGTAGAATTTTCCACTTGCTGAAAAATGTGTTATTTTCCTCATTCTTTGAGAACAGTAGTCTCATAGAAGTGGTATCAGTTTTACTCCCAAAGTCTAGAGGTATGTTCACTATGTGGGAGGTGTTCAATAGGCAGTTACTGAAACCATGAGGGTAACAATCAAAAGATACTGGAAAGTGTATGAAATATTAATAAATAATGTTTTTTCCGAATAGTAAGATTATGGACCATTTTACTTCATATGTTTCTGTGTTTTCTTTAATACACATTGTTATGATGTTGCCCAGAAGGAGGTGAGCAGTATAAAAACCCAAATGTAACAGTAAAATTACCTGGAGAGAGGATGACGATGGCTGTCAGCAGAGCGTACTCTTCCTGAGTCATTTTCAATTCCCCAATACTTTTATAAAAACTAAACATCGGAGTTATATATTCATCAGAGATGCCTGTGTAGAAGTTGAGAAACACAGTTACAACAAAAGGCTTTTAATTTTAGTTACTACTTTTGTGTGTGTGTGTGTGTGTGTGTGTGTGTGTGTGTGCGCTCGCGCGCGTGCGCTCGTGTTGTGGTCAGGGTAGGATTTTGTGGAGCTGGCCCTCTCTTTCACATGGATTCTAGTGACCCAAACTCATATCACCCTCAGCACCCTCTATCACACCAATGCAATGACAATCATGAGTGATGGCAAAGTGCAAAGCCAGAAGCACACACAATCACATTTGCCCCTACGCCACATACATTCATTAATTATAGTCTCTTATACATCTCGGCCAAAGAAGATCAATAAACAAAATCTTCAAAGGACAGCCTTGTGTCTAATACATTTGTCTTTGAATTCAGTTTGGCCAAGTGTGCAACAATAAATGATAATGCTCTTGGGCTAGAAAAATTCCTAGAATGGCACCATTTTCTGGGCGGGGCCTGTTACTTTAAACAATATCAATAGATACACGACAGAGAGCAACCTTAACAATGAGCACAGCATAGTGGTGCTTCCATTCAGACAAATAAGCAATTAGCCTGAGTAAGTTGGCTAGAGCTGAATGGATTTGGACCTCCCTAACATACCCATTACCTACCATGCATTAATCAGTATGGGACCACTCTTTACAAATTCAGGACACCAAATATGACAAATGCTAGGTTGGAACCAAAGCTCCCAACTTTCTCCAAGCCCACTCCCTTCCTGAAGTCTCCATTCTCAGTAATGGCTATTCCTGCCACCCACGTGTCCAGGCTGGCAGCCCAGATTGCTGGTGTGTGATCCTGCAATCCTTACCACTCCTCCTCACTCCCTGGTGCCTTGCCTCTCGCTTCAACCCCCATCTCTCATTATCTGGAGCATAGCGATTGCTTCCTCTCTCCTGTCTTGTTTATTCTTCTGCAATCCATTTACCAGAGTAACTATTCTGAACTTCAAATCACACACTTTCTCCTCACTTCTTTCACACCTTCAAAAGCTTCCATCAGCTTTTGCTGTTCCAGCACTTTTCTTTTAAATGGGGACTTCTGCCTCTCTGGAGTTTGTATTCACTGAGTCCTCGCTATTCTCTGTGCTCCATGGTAGGTACTTCTTGGCCACTCCTTTCAAACCCAGTGTATCAAATATCAAAGACACCAGGTAAGAACCAAGTCCTCAGTTGGGTGGTGGTGGCACACACCTTTAGTCCCAGGACTCAGGAGGCAGAGGCAAGTGAATCTCTGTGAGTTCAAGGCCAGCCTGGTCTCCAGAGTGAGTTCCAGGACAGCCAGAGCTACACAGAGAAATCCTGCCTTGAAAAAAAGAAGGGAGGGAAGGAGGGAGAGAGGGAGGGAGGGAGGGAGGAAGTCAAACTCAACCACCTTCCTCTTAATCCACTTCTTTTCTGCTATTTGTTCATTAAACTTTCTAAAATCCCACAAGCCCAGTGGTTCTCATCCTTCCTGATGCTGCAACCCTTTAATACAGTTCCTCATGCTGTGGTGACCCCACCCCCACCCCAACCATAAAATTACTTCCTTGCTACTTGGTAACTGCAATTTTGTTATTGTTATAAATTGTAATGTAAACATCTGATATGCAGGACGTCTGATATGTGAGCCCTTGTGGGGGTCACGACTCATGTGTTGAGAACCCTTGCACTACCTACAAGAAAGTCAGTAGCTGTCCCAAACAGACACAGCTAGTGAGAGGTGGTGCACGAATCAAACCAAAGTTTCTAGGCTTTGACTCAGTTTCCCCTGCCTTCCTATCAGCTTCCCTCCAGCCAGGTTCAGCCACTTCAGTTTCCCTCAGCACTTCAGTTTGCCTACTCTCTGTACACACATGGCTGTCACTGCTGGGAATACCTTCATTCCCTTTCAACTTCTTTATTCTTGTTTATAATTTAAGACTTCTTGTGTTGTTTTTTCTATACTTACTCAAAAAATTAATTTGGAGCTTGTTATATGCATGGTTTCATTCCAGAGAAATATGGGCTAAGGAATCAAAGAGACGAGAGGTGGTTTGACTTTCTGATGAATGGAGATGAGGATGGGTATGTCCAGATTGGTCCATGAGGATAGATGTGTCCAGATTGGTCCATGAGGATGGGTGAGTCCAGATTGGTCCATGTGAGAATCTACTGTTTTCTTCCTTCCTACCCCATTTCTAGAGCCATAAAATTCTGGCTGAACCAAATGAGGATACAGTTGGATTTCTGATGCTCAAGAGTCCAACTATCAACCGATGGTACACTTTATAAACAGCTTGTCAGAAAGTCAAATCCTCACCTCAAGAAGAGTTAGAAGTGTCTTCAGAACTGAGCCTTTGGCCTTTCCCAGTCACTCAGCACAGTGCAGTCCTCTCCCCACACTCCTGCACCCTCTCTCCATACCCCTGCACCTTTGTTCTTAACCCCAGTGGGTTCTCTCAACAGCAAAGTCTTTGTTTAGCACGAGGGTGATTACATCACATGGGAGAGCGCCTGTCCCCAGCTGCTACAGAACTGAGCTGAATATCCAAGACCAAACAAGATACAACTTCAAAGGACTGGGGCTTGAGCCTGGGGATGCTGCTCACTGCTTCCAACATAGGGTTAGAGGTTATGAGCCAGCTTGTGACTTTGAAATCTGAGTCCCTGATATGGCCTTGAACACATTAAAACTTTTGAAGCCACAGTTTTGTCATCTGTGAAATGTGAATTGTATACTGATAGTATTGTATAAGGTAAACCTGCCTCACAGTAAGACCTCAGTGGTGAGGCAGCCCTATAACACTAATTAACTGGGAGGCTGAGGGAGAAAGAGAGCAAGAACTACCTACACTACGGAGAAAGTCCAAGGATAGCTGGCCAACTATGAGACCTGAAATCCACTAGAGACCCATAGTGGCCAAAGTGTAGAGTGACGTTGGTGAGCCCAGGCACATGTGGTACATCTGCAACACTACCCTACACCTAAGGCTCAGAAATTACACGAGCCAGAGGACCAGAGTATCAGCTTGTGACAGTGTCTTCCAGATATAGCAGGGCGCTGCCCCCATGGAATCTCAACAAGATGGCTGCCTACATAAGATCTGCACAGAAACCACATCAATGAACACGCCAACATGGATGTGGTTGAAGAGTTGTGGCAAGAGCGGGAGAATGCATTTTCTCCGGGATGAGCCCCCTGAGAGGCTATCTGATCCCAAGTGGTCTGTGTCAAACCCATACACGCAGGAACAATACTAAGTGAACACAATAGATTTTAAAGATGAGGTCTTGAATTCATGGGGGTCAGGAGTATGGGAAGAGCTAGAGAGGGGAAGGGGGGAACTGGTGTCAAAAAAGTTAAATAATAAAAATCAACTTCAAAACAGTAAAACTACCGCTTGGGAAAGCACTTGCCTAGCTAGTGGGCAGCTCTAGGTGTAATCCTCAGTACTGCAAAAATAAAAATGAATGAATAAGCAAAGAGACATACTATTTACCATTGTAATGCAGATTAATTGCACTAACAAACTCGTCATAACCTCAGTCCATTTAAGTCTACATTAAATTTGTATTCTTCTGCCTTTACAAAGCTGTGGGGGTTTTTTCTTAATCCCTGGGGGCGGGGAGGGGGGTCCTGGTGCCACAGTGCCCATGGGAAGGTCAGAAGATAACTCTTGGGAATTGTTTTTTTCGACCACGTGAGTCCTAAGGATCAGACTCAGGCCATCAGGCTCACAGCAAGAGCCTTTGCCTGCTGAGCCATTTTGCCAGGCCAATTGTGTGTGTGTGTGTGTGTGTGTGTGTGTGTGTGTATTTAAAACATCTTTTACTTTTTGTTCTTTTTGAGACAGGGCCTCTCTACTCAGCCCTACCTGTCCTGAAATGCACTATGTAAACCAGGCTGGCCTCTGCCTCCCAAATGTGGGAATTAGAGGCACATGGCACATACCAGGCTGAAAAATTATTTTACTTTTTACTCAGGATGAATAAAACTTGTCTGTTCAGTGAATTGTCTCGGTGGTTTTCCAGACATTAAAGCGAAACAAAGGTTTGTAACTTTTTTTTTTTCACTATTTTCTTTTTACCTCCAAAAATTAGCACTCTTGGCTGTAAGTGGAGGTATATGCCTCTACTTCTAGCACTTGTGAGATTGAGGCAGGGAGATGCTGAGGCCAGTGGGCAGTCCAAGGCACATAGCAAGGCCCTGTCTAAAATCAAGAGAGGCTGTCTTTATACCTCTTCCATGTTCAGCGTCCGTACCCATCAGGAGAAATCAGCTAATGTCATGACCGGGCCATGACTTTGTTTTGTTTTTTTTTTTTTTTTTTTTTTTTTTTTTTTTTTTTTTGTCTCTAAAAAGGAAACTCAGTAAACTCTTGAAGGCTTTTAACTTTTCCAACAGATTTGTGTGGAACAATAAACTTTATTGAAATTTCTTCAAAATCCATTTAAATTAATTGGTCTGACTACCAAAATAATCTGTTTCTAGCCAAATTATATTCATGTTTTTTTTTTTTACCAGTGTGTATGTGTGCAGTGCACATGAATACACTTCCCACTTCCCACACCTGTGTCTCCAATGTCAGCATCTGTATATGTCATTAAATAGACCAAAGGCCATGGATGGGAATGTCACAGAAGGACATGTCATATATTTATGTATTTGTTAGGGAATTACTCATTTTATTTGCTGGTAACCATACATACTTTCGTTCATTTTGAATGACTCAGCTGTGTGAATGAGCAATTGCATTTTTATTATTTTGAATCAGTGACTTATTTATGAATGACTGACTTGTCCCAAGCAGTCGCTTTTGAGAGGCACTGATCTGTGAACAGATGTCTCATGAAGCGTATGTAACTCGTTTCCTTGGAGCGCGTAACGAGAGGGCAAACTCCTAGACAGTAGAGCAGAATGAATCCTTGATTGTGAGTCATAAAAATATTATTACATCTGTCTGTTTATGTGTGTGTGTACATATGCATGCCATGATGCACTGTGGAGGTCAGA